CAAAGTAGAGAGTATTTCTGCATCATACCTTAGAGCTATAAAGAGGATAAAATGAATTTAAAAGGTAATGTCAAATAATATAGCCTCTGGAATCCCACACTATTTTGACTTGGGCCGGGACCCCTTCCGACACCCGCCCTGGAGCCGCCCTTCTCACCCCGCGTCGCTCGGCGTTAGCCAGGGCCCGGGCGGCGCCACCCTCCAGGGGCACTAGGTCTGGGGCCGCAGCGCCCAGCACAGAGCAGCGTTTATTGGGTGACGTCTAGGCTGAGTAATTCCGTGTGCTGACCTCAGCCCAGTAGTTTGAGCTGAATTTTCGCTTTCAGCAGCCGCATTTGTAGCAGCTCTTTTGTGATGACTTAGTCTCTAAGCCCGTGAAAGAAAAAGAAAAGTCTCGGTGGCAAGGTTGGGGTAGAAACGTAGTTGTGAAATTTCTGCTGACTTCTTCCTTCGGCTTTTCTTAGTTGCTTAAAGTAACAGCTCTCATGCAGGAACCCGGCGGAAGTACAGTGTTAGCCTACGAGCATGTTTGTCCTCCATGTAGCCTAGTTTGCCCCAGAACGAAGCAAGGGCTTTGACCGGTATATAAGTGCCTACTCAGTTTAGGTTCCAGCCACTTGATCCACTTTTCGTAGTGTGTTATTTGCTTAGTTATATGTCTGCAAATAGCTTTAATTGATCAAATGGCGTTTGTTTTACAGGACGAAGATGAGTGGAAAGAATTGGAGCAAAAAGAGGTTGATTACAGCGGCCTCAGGGTTCAGGCAATGCAAATAAGGTATGGTCTGGTTACAAATGTGTTTAGGTAACTTTTAGGACAGATATTGGATACAAGTTAGGTTTTCCTTTGGCCCCAAAGCAGCATCATAGTAGCCTTGTGCTCTAGATATGCTTATTAGGACTCAAATGGGTTCTGTCTACTCTTTCTCACTCCGTGAAGGCAGCCCTGCCGTGTGCTCATCAAATTAGCTACTGACTCTAAAATCCTGTGAGAGCTTGCCTACTTCCAGTTCTGGTGAGGCCTTTTCATTTGAGACAGCTAAAATGGATTTTCTCACTTCAGAATTTTCACTGTTAACATCGGTGATTGTACTTAGTTTTGGTTTCAAAAATAATGTGGATTTTTTCACATCCTCTCCAATAAGCAAGTGAATGTATTTTTGTAATTGAAGTATATCATACTTAAAGAGAGAGAGAGGTTTCATGTGTTCACACAGTGCTACCAACCTGTGCAGTAAGTACGCAGGTCGAGAAACTTGAGTATTACTAATACAGAACAAGGTTCGCCTCCTAACACCTACTCACTGCATTCACCTTCAACACAACCACTGTCCATAATTTTTTCTAAAACTTAATAGGAATGGAATTATATGTGTAAACATGTTATTTTTTAAAGTTCAAGAAAACAGTAATTTTTAAAAATTGGGTAGTTTAGAAGATTTGAAATTAACATTTTGTTAAGTCCAGTCTGTGGCAGTCAACTTTGATGCTAAGTGCCATATTTTGGAGGGTTCATAAAGTAGGAAAAAAACAAGTGAAGATATGGATCTGCTTTAAGATTAAAAAATCCTTTGCTCCCAGTTTAAAGAAAAAAGGATTTTGATAAACTGTCTCCAGTTTGAAGCTTGCATTTTATAGGCAATGCCAGTGAGTGCGAGGCACAGTGGAGGAAATACTTTCCTTAACTGAAAACTGTCTTTTGACCTCTCTGGATGTTAGTATCTATAGCTTTAGATAACTTTTTCAAAAAGCAGTGTTAATAATTTGTTGAATACCTACCACAGCTAGGCATTAATGTCCTGTGAAAACATCATTTTGTGAGCTTAGCCAAAGTGAAACCCCCGACTGATAATGGGAAACTTTCAGGAACGGTAGCTTCTCCACTCTTGAGATTTCTTTGTAGTGGTGTTGAGTAGAAGTGATTAGACTTAAGTTTGATTCCCAACCACTTGTTGGCTTCCTTCATGTATCTTCATCTTTTCTGTCTCCTGGGGCTTGACCTGTAAAGAATAGGGGAGGAGCGGATGTGAGGTTCTTACCATTTGGGGTTGTGGAACTACCTGTGTGTGTGGCTCCTGTTCTGTTGTAAAATTTGGCTCTTAAGGCTTTTCTTTCCTAAGTGACTGCAGGTTCTTGAAAACGTGAGTGACTGTAAGAATAGTGTTTGGCCATGTCGAACTTGGCAAAAGTAGCACTTTACTGAAGATAAAATTTTGGTTACAAGTTCACTGACGATTAGAAATTGATTTTATTAAACTATGGATATTATTTAAACAGAACCTGTGTTTTTTCTGTTATTGACTATAAGTTACATGTTCATCTTCAGGGTTATTTTGGTCTTGATCTATTTTGGTTACTCTTGAGATCGTGAAAAGTGTCTTAAATAACTTATATACTTCACCCTTGCCAGGGGTATAAGTATCAGCTAGTACAAGCATTTAAGTTCTGCTCAACCTGAAGCAGAGTAGCTTTTATATTGTCTTTTGGTTTCTTAACATCTAGTTATTGGCCTGAAGTGGCCATCCTAGTAGAGGTATTCCACTAACCTGCAACGCTGAGAAACTCTCTTTCCCATATGCTCATCCACCAATCTCTGCTACATGTGCTTTATCTTATTCTCTTTCTCAATATACTGAGAGTTAGCTGCAGATGTCACCGTCAGTCTTTTTTTTTTTTTTGAAACAGAGTTTCGCTCTTGTTGCCCAGGCTGGAGTACAGTGGCACGATCTAAGCTCACCACAACCTCCAACCCCTGGGTCCAAGCGATTCTAATGCCTCAGCCTCCTGAGTAGCTGGGATTACAGGCATTTGTCACCGCACCCGGCTAATTTTGTATTTTTAGTAGAGACGGAGTTTCTTCCTATTGGTCAGGCTGGTCTCGAACTCCTGACCTCAGGTGATCCGCCTGCCTCGGCCTTCCAAAGTGCTGGAATCACAGGCGTGAGCCTCTGAGCCCAGCCAGATGTCACATACAATCTTAAAGTTCTTGACACTGGTCCTTATAGTAGTTAGCATGTTAGGCCTTTACCTGTACTGAAAGGGAAAAGTTTTCATTAGCAGCAAACATACTATATATTAAGATCCTATTTCACATTTACCAACCAGCTCAAGATTTAATACTAGGGTACTTAATGTGTCCAATTTTGTGTCTAAGTTAATCTTATTCAAGAGCATGCCATTATAGACAAAATCTTGAGCAGGAAGTCATTGAGGTGGTTATAAAGGAACCTGTCACTTGAGTTAGATTCTTGGTTGTTTGTAGGCCCTGTAGGCCTCTTTCATCTCTTATTTTTTTATATTTTTGAGACAGTCTCACTTTGTCACCCCGGTTGGAATGCAGTGGCATGATCATAGCTCACTGTAGTCTTGAACTCCTGGGCTCAAGTGATCCTCCCACCTCAGCCTCCCAAGTAGCTGGGGCTACAGGTGTGAGTTGCCACCCCTGACTAATCTTACTTTTTTTCTGTAGATGGGGACTGTGTTCCTGGGCTGATCTCAAAACTCCTGGCCTCAAGTGATCTTCTCAAAGTACAGGAATCACAGGCATGAGCTGCTAGGCCCAGCTACTTCCATCTTTAAAATGGATTTTTGGGAGAATGTTAGAAAGATTTAATTCTTGAAGGCATACAGTGTTGAGTGTTTGTCATGTTTCAGTAAATAATTGAGTTCTTGGAGCCCAGTGGTTTTCTAGAAACTTTGGTGAGAAATCTAGACTTAAACCTGTTAGGTAGAGCTGGTTATGTTATCCAAGGTGGATTATTCTAGCAAATACGTGACTACTTTGCTAGACGCTGTGAGGTTTTCTGGTTGTAGAAATAAGTCATGCTCTAATAGACGACAGTAGATAATTTCAAAGAGATGTGCAAGGTGCTCTGGGGCAGAGGAGAGACGTTTCATCATCCATGAATGGGTCGGAAAGATTTCTTTGGATGAGGTGCAGTGACATTTTAAGCCTCCAGGCCAGGCATAGCTGATCAGGCCATGTTTATCTCGCCAGTTTACTGTTGCAGCAGTGCTAGGTATAATAGGGACAAACCTGTGAGATGCCCGGTATTCCAGCAGCTCAGTCCAGTCTGATTCTTGTTTTAGCTGCTTCCCCCTAGTGTTGGGGAAGGGGAGTTAGGATGTATAAATTCCCAAGTCTCGAGGTAGAGAGATAAGGCTGTTCTATTCTTTATAAATATACTGCTGCAGGATGTATGATCCTATCAGCCTTACTAAAGAAAACGCATTTCTCAAATCTCAAAGTAGAGAATATTTCTGCATCATACCTTAGAGCTATAAAGAGGATAAAATGAATTTAAAAAGTAATGTCAAATAATATAGCCTCTGGAATCCCACACTATTTTGACTTTGCTACTCTGTAGGCCTGGGGAAGGTACTTAAGTTTCCTCATACATATATACAATGGGTCTCTTGCCTGCCTTAGTGTTACTGTGAGGTTTAACTTTGTACAGTGGGGTGGAATGCTGGCTGCCGTAGTAGATATTCAGTAAATCTTCCTTTTGTATCGTCATTATTCTCCTCACCCTACCAGTAGTGCCTTACAGGCTTACATGTATTTAAGACTGTGTATGTGGAATTGTGATGAATTTACAGCAGTATCGTAGTGTTTATTTATAACATTTAGCTAATGAGAAGCTATATATTAGGATCAAACACTGAATTTCAGCCCGTCTCCCGTGGAAATAACCGTTTGGAACTTGTTTCTTGTTCTGCTGTGACATTTGGAGAGTTGATGCTTTCTGAAATATGTAAATATGAAAAAGCAATAAAATATATAAATCATTTCTACCCTGCTAACTGGCATTTAGGCAAGCCCTCTAAGCATCTCTGGGCTTCAGTTCCTCATTGTTGGATGAAGAGTTTTTTGGCTTGGTCATTCTTTTTTTTTTGATAAAGTTTTTGCTTTTGTTACCCAGGCTGGGGTGCAATGGCATGATCTCTGCTCACTGCAACCTCCGCCTCCCAAGTTCAAGCGATTTTCCTGCCTCAGCCTCCCAAATAGCTGGGATTACAGGCATATGCCACCACGCCTAGCTAATTTTTGTATTTTTAGTAGAGACAGGGTTTCACCATGTTAGTTAGGCTGGTCTTGAACTCCTGACCTCCGGTGATCTGCCCGCCTCTGCCTCCCAAAGTGCTGGGATTACAGGCGTGAGCCACCGTGCTCGGTTGATGAAGGGTCTTGACTAAACAATGTCCACATGCTTAGTTTAGTATTTCAGAATCTTAACCCAAAATACTTATTTATTTTTATTATTATTACGCTAAGTTCTAGGGTACATGTGCACAACATGCAGGTTTGTTACACAGGTATACATGTGCTATGGTGGTTTGCTGCACTCATCAACTCGTCATTTACATTAGGTATTTCTCCTAACACTATCCCTCCCCCAGCTCCCTACCCCCCAGCAGACCCTGGTGTGTGATGTTCCCCTCCCTGTGTCTGTGTGTCCTCATTGTTCAACTCCCACTTATGATGAGAACATGCAGTGTTTGGTTTTCTGTCTTTGTGATAGTTTGCTGAGAACGATGGTTTCCAGCTTCATCCATGTCCCTGCGAAGGACATTAGCTCATCCTCCCTTTTTATGGCTGCATAGTATTCCATGGTGTATATGTGCTACATTTTCTTTATCCAGTCTATTATTGATGGACATTTGGAAAAACCCAAAATATTTATTAAAAAAAATTTTTTTGGCCGGGCACAGTGGCTCACGCCTGTAATCCCAGCACTCTGGGAGGCTGAGGCGGATGAATTACCTGAGGTCAGGAGTTTGAGACCAGTCTGGCCAACATGGTGAAACCCTGTCTCTACTAAATACACAAAATTTTGCTGGGCATGATGGAGCAAGCAGCTACTTGGCAGGCTGAGATAGGAGAATCGCTTGAACCCAGGAGGTGGAGGTTGCAATGAGCCAAGATCATGCCATTGCTCTTCAGTCTGGGCAACAGGAGTGAAACTCCATCTCAAAAAAAAAAAAAATAGAGACAGGGTCTCACCAGGTTGCTCAGGCTGGTTTTGAACTCCTGGCCTCAAATGATCCTCCCACCTTGGCCTTCCAAAGTTATGGGATTATGGGCATGAGCCACCATACCTGGCCAATAATCCAAAATACTAAGTTGTTCTCCTTGTGCCTTTTATTATTGATGTACAGTCCCTCTAATTAAACAGATTATGCTTATTTTTTGGTAATAGTTTGTAACGTAGGTGTATTTTAAATTTGTGGTTTTTAAATTTTTTTATTTTTTCCCTAAGGGCAAGGAGATGTTAGACACTAGACAGTAAAAAAGAAAACTTCAAGTTGAGATACTGTCACTATTCCATCAGACCAAATAGGAGTTTTTATTTAAAAGCTTTCTGTGAGGCTGGGCGTTTGGGAGGCAGAGTTAGGAGGGTCACTTGAGGCCAGGAGTACACGACCAGCCTGGGCAAGACCCTGCCTCTACAAAAAATGTAGAAAAGTAAAATTAGCCAGTCATGGTGATCTGTACCTGTAGTTCTACCTTACTTGGGAGGCTGAGGTGGGAGTATCTCTTGAGCCCAGGAGTTTAAGCTTACAGTGAGCTAAGATTGGGCCTCTGTACTCCAGCCTAGGTGACAGAGCAAGACCCTGTCTCTAAAAAAAATTTTAAAAATAAAAAACGATTTTTTGTGTGTAGGTTATAAAAGTAATATGTTTGTTTTTAGAAATTTTTTGAAAAAATGTAGCAGCATAAAATGTAAGAATTATCTGTAGTCTCTTCTGCTTAGGAATAATCAGTGAATAGTGCTGATTATTAAGGGCTTGTCAGCTCCATTTTACGTATTGAGGAATAAAGAAATTAGTGCCATATTCAAAGTTTCCTGGCTGGTAAGTGGCAGAGCCTGGATTTGAACCAGGAAGCCTGACTTTAGAATCTGCTCCTAATTGCTTGCTGCATGAAGAAGAGAAAGTCATACATTCTAGCACCCAGAGCTACTCTATAATACAAACTTTTTAAAATTGTTGTAGATATCTTTGTATTTATATTAGGTATGTAGCTGTTGTTTTAGTGAATTTTTGGTTTGTATGACATGAATACTACCTCCAAGTCAGCATAGGCTTTACATTTTAAATGGCTGTATAGAATTCTCTTACATGTTAATGAAAAGGAAAACTGAGGGATGGCCTGGCTATATTTTTTCTTTCTTTTAAATTGCATTTTTTTTTCTTTCTCAGATCTCTTAGGGATGAATTGACATATTCTCTATCCTTTTTCCTCTCAGATAAAGTTGTAAGTAAAATCTTGCTGTAAATGTAGATGAGATATATCTATTCTTCTTTTCCCTCTCTTCCTTATTGCCACTCCAGCCTCTAAATTCTGCAGTTACCTCTGATTGGTAGGTAATTCATACAATGCTGCCATTTTTTATTTTTTATTTTTGACACGCGGTCTCGCTCTGTCACCCAGGCTGGAGTGCAGTGGTGCAATCTCGGCCCACTACAGCCTCTGTCTCCTGGGTTCAACCAATTCTCCTGCCTCAGCCTCCCAAGTAGCTGAGATTACAGGCATATGCCATCACACCCAGCTAATTTTTGTGTTTTTAGTAGAGACAGGGTTTTGCCATATTGGCCAGGCTGGTCTCGAACTCCTGACCTCAGGTGATCCGCCTACCTCGGCCTCCCGAAGTGCTGGGATTACAGGTGTGAACCACCGTGCCCAGCCAGTGCCATTATTTTTGAATGGCATTTTGCCACTTTTTTTTTTGAGTTGGAGTCTCGCTCTGTCACCCAGGCGGGAGTGCAGTGGTGCGATCTCAGCTTACTGCAAGCTCCGCCTCCCGGGTTCACGCCATTCTGCCTCAGCCTCCCAAGTAGCTGGGACTACAGGCGTCTGCCACCACGCCCAGCTAATTTTATGTGTGTGTATATATATATATATATATATATTTTTTTTGGTAGCGACAGAGTTTCACCATGGTCTTGATCTCCTGACCTCGTGGCCCGCCTGTCTCAGCCTCCCAAAGTGCCACTTTATTTTTTTCTAAGTATCTTTAAAGGAGACTGTCAAGCTGGTCGTATAGCCAGCTCTTGTCTTGTTTTAATAGAAATGGAAGGAAAGCATCCTTAGATATCCTTTTGCAGAAGCCAAGAGAGGCTGTGATGTTCCCAAGGTTACACAGTCAAGAGAGGCAGGGTGGTAAGTGGAAGGCCAGGGACAGAGTTTTGGGAACCAACCTTTTTTTATAGGAAGGTGGGGAAAACGTAAAATGATGAAGGAGTTGAGAAGCTTGAAGACCTAGGAAAAGCCACCATTGTCAGGAAAAATAATTTTATGAAAAGGTTGGTAGTTGAGTATCTTCTGCCAGGTGTATCTTCAAGGTGAAGAGCTGCAGAAAGGACGTTTGATTTAGCCATTATTATGCTTTAATATCCCTGTGGTCAGTATCCCGTTTGTCAGGAGACAAAAATATATACACTTGGCAATTTAGGACATGTAAAGGTACATAAAATAATAAAAAGTAATCCAACAAAAAGAGAAATAATCAAAGATGCCTAGGAGAAATAGATTATGACTCAAGTCAATTCAAGAATAAATTAATTAGCATTGAGAAAATACTGCAAGCAGTCTTAAGATGGTATGTTACCACTGAGGGTATCTTTTCCATTTATAACATCTGGAAAGCCGAAGACTGAGCTCTTATATGTTTTTTTAAACAGGTGATAAATACATGTCTGATGTTAGGGGCTAGTTCTATCCTTTGTAAACACGGCACATATTTGTTTTCATCTGCTGGAATGTGAATTCTGATTCTGAGAGCATTTTGTTACATGTGCTAAAGGATTGGCAAATAAAATTATACAACTTTCAAAACCCTTCATTTGTCACTAAAAATATGCTTACCATAAATGCCTGTTTGTACACTTTGGTGCAAGGAAAATTTTGTAATCGTGCTCTTAATCCTTCAGCTCACTCTCTTCTCTGCATTTCGGGTTGTATCATCCTCTCTTCCCTCCCTTAGTCGCTTGAGGCAGTAACTGGGGTCCTGCTCTTACGTGGGGTCCTGTAAACCATCAGGCATATTGTCACAGAGGCACATCAGTTTTGTTTTTGTTTTTTTTTTTTTCCAGACACAGTCATGCTCTGTCACCCAGGAGGGAGTGCAGTGGCACAATTTCAGCTCACTGCAGCGTCTGCCTTCCGGGTTCAAGGGATTCTCCTGCCTCAGCTTCCCCAGTAGCTGGGATTACAGGGGTGCGCCCCCATGCCTGGCTAATTTTTGTATTTTTAGTACAGATGGGTTTCGCCACATTGCCCAGCCTGGTCTTGAACTCCTGACCTCAGGTGATCCATCCACCTTGGCCTCCCAAAGTCCTGGGATTACAGGGTTGTACAGATAATCATGGATAAAACTAAGGATTTGGACTGAACATTTTCTTGGTGGTTCCTTAATGAATTTACATGTTTGCTTTTCCAACAGTGAAAAGGAAGAAGATGATAATGAAAAGAGACAAGATCCAGGTGATAACTGGGAAGAAGGTGGAGGTGGTGGTGGAGGTATGGAAAAATCTTCAGGTCCCTGGAATAAAACAGCTCTGGTCCAAGCACCTCCTGCTCCAGTAATCGGTAATTTTACTATTTCAGTTTCAGAAAGATGTCTGATTTCTATATGATTTTATATATGGTCCACTTTCAACTCGGTGCATGATTATGGTGGGGTGAGAAGGAGGGGCTCCTTTCCATTCCTGGTTGAGTGGGATGTGTGTGTCTCTTGTTAAAGACTTCAAGATCCTAAAGAAAAGGAATCTGGAAGTTAAAAGACATACTTTTGTCCTATATGTTGCTGTAAAATTTGTATGTAGATAGTCTAGTCGATTCCAGTTTCGTTTATTTAAATTGAGCATTTATTCTAATATCCTCTTTAAATATTAACTACTTGCTAGTGGAGGTAAAGGTAAGGAAGACTTCAATTTACTAGAATCCAAGGTAAGCTTCATTTGGGATTTTTAGTAGTAATTACCTAGGGTTGGGTATAACTCCAAAAGTTTTCATGAGAGAGAAAATTCTTAAAGCTTTTATCATTTAAAATATTTTTGACAGCTGAGTAAGGACAAAGACAAGGGGCCCTTGTCTTCACTTGTGCTTTGTCTTTTTCATTCCCTTTAACTTTCCTGTTTTTTGAAGCATGAATTCTCAGCAGGACTGATGTTATCATTCTCAAGGGGGTAAAAGTTGCTTCTTACAGGGTGAAGGAATCTTATACCTTATCAGTCATTTGTGGCCTGCGAAAAGGCTAGAGTGCATAAACAGATGTATAGTTTATCTGCAGTATTAAAATTTTATGGAGTGGGGGGCAGTTGGGAAACAGATGTCTGAAAGGTCTCCTTAGGGCGATAATGAAAGTTTAAGAGCACTACTTTAAAGAAATGTATACTCATTGTTTTATTTAGAATGGCATAAAGAATAACTTATCACTCCAAATCTTGCTATGCTGAAATCACACAGATAACTACTGTATTTTTTAGAGACAGTTTCACTCTGTGGCCCAGGCTGCAGTGCAGTGGTGCAACGTGGCTCATTGCAGCCCCTCAACTGCTTGGACTTAAGTGATTCTCCCACCCCAGCCTTCCAAGTAGACTACCAGGGCATGCCACCTGTTTATTTTATTGTGGAGATGAGATCTCACTATGTTGCCCAGGGTAGTCTCCGACTCCTGGGTTCAAGCAATCCTGCCACCGTAGTTTCCCAAAGTGCTGGGATTACAGGTGTGAGCCACCACACCCGGTCTTATGTTTTTAAATCTTTAGAATCTTTTTGTTTTGTTTGAGACAGAGTCTGGCTCCTGACTTCAAGTGATCTGCCTGCCTCGACCTCTAAAAGTGCTGGGATTACAGGCGTGAGCCATCATGCCTGGTTAGAATCTTTTTTTCTTTCTTTCTTTCTTTCTTTTTATTTTTTCCAATAGACAAAGTCTCATTCTCTTGCCCAGGCTGGAGTGCAGTGGCACAGTCTTGGGTCACTGCAACCTCCA